GATATCTATAATTATACTCAATGTAATACCTAGTCTAGGTCCCCACCTGTACTGCTGGTTTTGAAAATATAAGTGCTGACTGGTCTGCTGAAGGCTCAAACTGTAAAAATATATAAATAAACAAATACTAAGTACTATTCTCAAACATACTAAAATAAATGCTAATATTCTCAACTTTAACTTAACCGGATTAGCTAGAACAGTCTAAGGTTCTATTTTGACTGATATTAGATCCGTACTTAAACTGATACTGCTACACTGGAATAACTCGGATCAGAAATTAACTAAAATTCGAAATAACTTGAACCGACATAATAAATGCTGAAATACTTGGATAACCGGTCTAAACCAGTCGGTTTGTTGGCTGGCCGGACCGCCGGCTCACTGTGGCCGGGCGATCAGCCGCTGGCTTGGGTTAACCGGCTTGGTCCCACGCAGGGCCTGCTGGTGCCCTGGCGCGATCGCACGCGCGGGCTGGACGCGGTCTGGGTGCTGTCGGCACGACTAACGCCGACGAGCTTAACTAACGCCCACCAGGTGCTGCTGGGCACGACTGGTGGCACTTTGGCAACACTGAGTGTGATAGGTACTGACCCATGCACGGCTGTCAACCATCGGGTGTTGCTGGCACGGCCGAAGGTGGCTGGACTCACGGGCGCGCACATGACTGAACACTGTCGAGCACACTGGCATCGACACTGGTGCGTTCGGGCATTGTCGGGTGCTACTGTGCACCACGGACAGGCGGCTAGGCATACTGGCGTGCTTCTGTGCACACTGGCATACACCTGGACTCATCGGAGTGCGACTAGCCACAACCGGGTCAATGGGTGTACGAGCAGGCGGCGAGGCGGGTTGGAACTGCCGAGCGCTTCCTGTACTCGCTAGGTGCCACTGGCGCTGGGCGCACGCGAACTAGTTGTGCGCTGCCGAATGCTTTCGGCATGCGCTTCACGCGTCGCGCAACTGGGCGCGCGCTAGCTAGCGTCTGCGCGATCTCTGCCGGGCACTGCACACGCTATGTGCGGGCAGGACACTACGATCGATGCCTTGCGAGCCGTCCGGTGACTTAATCCGGCAACATCAACTCTATTCAACTCAATATTATCTAATAAGCTTGAAAATGAATAAAGTGCTCGGATGACTCCGATTAGAAATTGAAATGTCTCGTTAGGGCCTATATGGCGCCTACGAACCAATACTTCAACTAAATGGACTTCAAATACAAAACGCCCACATGCTTGACCATATATGCTTATAAGAATACTAAGAAAATGCTAATACGAGCTTACCTCTTCGGTTGCTCGTGAAATGACACTACGACCCGTGAGCTCGCCTTGCGCCCTTGTCCTCTCGGCAATGTCCGCGCGCACTCCTTCTCGACGATGGTTAGCTACGGATTCTCCTTGCTAAATGAAGTAACTTCTCAAAACCCTCTTCACTCCCAAGTATTTCTTGAACTTAGGCGTGTTATTCATCTTATTTTAGGTAAGCTCGTTACTTAATTTCTTATTGTACACAAAGCTATGGTTTATGCGTGAGCTTCTATCTCTCGGCACTCTTGGTTTTACTAAGATAAAAGAAATATTTCTAAGTACAAATGAGGTAAAACTCATCTTCCCAACAGATACTAGCTATTAATAAATAAATGAAGGGGTTGAGATTTGAAGAATGAGTTTTAGGAAGACACTTGTCCTCATAAGGGCACTTAGTGGCAATTTTATGAGCATAATCACCACTTGAGGTGTCATAACCTCAAATATCCTACTAATAATCTTGCTAAATGGATAATCATAATTAAAGCTAAATAATATAGCTGAATAACACAAAATGATCCTTAGTGCATGATGACTTGGATGCGGCAATAAGGGCTTAGGTGCATGCGCATGGGCTTGAATTTAGTGCTAGGAAATTGGTCCAATACTTGTATTAATACATATGCTACTACATACTTAGAAAATTTCCAAGCATAATATACACTCGGCTAGGGTTTGAAATATTTTGACCGAACTTGCTCGGTTTCGATCGAGACTCGGCTCAACTACGATGATTAATTCGAGTATCTCAACTTTGAATATTTCGTCGAGTTGAACTTACAAATTCCGAACTCGTTTGTAAATAAAAAAATTGGACTTAAATTCAGAAACTTATTCGGTTACTGAAATAAACAAACCGACTATTCTATCGACTAATAGTCGAACTTAGAACTTGAAAAATTAATAACTGGCTCAAAACTCAATTATGACGATTTCTCGAATATTCTCTAACTCGATTAGTACATCAATATTGGAACAATTAATCCCATACTTACTAATGTCCACTTATTAAATAAACGGGCCGATATTAATTTCTTGAATTAGACTCGATTAATACATAAAATCAACCAAAATTATTTTCGACTTAACGTCGAACTTGAAACTTAACTAGCTGAATAACTTAGGCTCGAAACAAGTATCGAGCATTTATTAATAAAGGTTAGCCTATACTCAAAAGCTAGTATCTTTCCTTTATTAATAAAATATGGGACGTTACAATATATCCTCCTTAAACTATTTCCGTCCTCGGAAATACTAAAACTGAGAGTACAAACTTAACTCAGAGCTTATACTAAATTGATGGTATATATCTAGAACCCAATATCTGGATAATGAGCTACGAACTCTTGACTCTACTTCTAATTGTTGAATCATCAATTCACAAACAACTTGTGAATTGTTGATTAATACTGGCTATAATAAGATCACCTTGCTGATCGAAGGTGCTCATTTGATCATACAAGCTACTCAAGAAACATTTCTTGAGCGTACTTGATATCTCTTTCTGTTTAATTGTCGATCTTTAGTATAGACATCAGTTGTGAGACCCAAGTCATTGTGGTACGCACGGATGACTTCAGAGATACGCACATGTACAAATAAGGATAACTAGCAATCTTGGTAACTGCCTGTCGTGAACACCAACCCGATGACGCGGCACGTCACTCGCGACATATTGCAATGCGGCACACCTGCTCCTCATCAAGTGAGTGCGGCACGACTGCATGCAGCACCAATGAACATTGCACCTGCGACATCGATGTAGTCTGTATAACTAGTCATATCTGTATCTCATGCTAGTGACCTCACCGTACTGCAATGTTAATTCTCCATGATCTCCCGACGTACTGTACCTAAGATATAGCTTCCTTCTCTCTTTCTTTCCTTCATGCGGCGATATTCTTGTTTTCAAAGGTCTGTCTTGTCATCACGGTGTTGTCTGCTAATGCTGAAAAGTGTTCCCCATCAAGCTGCAACTGTAATACTCACCTTTCCCGAGGCTAAATTAACCTCAAGAAAATCTATTGTGAACTAATTTTTGCGACATCTCGAACTTCTGAATTCAAGAATCGAGGCACTGGATATACTCAAGAAGAAACTTATAAGTCTTTTCTTATTAGACAGACCATCCTCAACTTTCACATAACTGGATAAATCTTACTTGACTTCTAGAAGTTCTTCCGAGACATTTTAACTGGTTGTCTCAAAATTTGGACTGATACTTATTGTTTTACTGAGGTCAGTTAAGGTCTGACTTCAAGTTTCCAGATAAATTTGGACTAATGATCTGTACTTAGATCTCCGTACTTTACCCGACTAATAACTATTATCCGCCGACCTTAAACTTATGAATGTTGGCTTCTGACTATGTACTATATTGGGCTGTTCCAGTATGAACTGGTCCCGCAAGTACTATATTAATAACTGATCTTATGCTTTGTGATATAGCCACGATAAAGACAAGTCGGTTCAGAGGCCTTACTCGACCCTAAAATAAAGAATCGGTAGTATCTCGGCGTTGGCTCATCGAGATGTTTAGGATAATCCTTGTGAAGTTGACCTGTAGCAAGGCAAGAACTAATAACATCCCGCGGGCCGGTGTCTCGAGGTCGACTTTGCTTAAGTTGACTTGTCGAAGCCAATTACAATGAAATTGGTATATTCTAAGAACCGCGGAGATCAGAACCTAGGAGGAATTGTCCCTATTCAAGGTCGACTCCTCGTATGTCGACCCATAACGCATGATGACAACTCCACATACTTGACATTCTCCTCATGAACCTATTGGTATTTTAAGGGATAAGAGGGAATCTGTAAGGTGACTCAGCAAGAGGGGAGATGAATCAACCGGGGCAATTTGGACCTTTCAGGCCCCCCGACCTAGGGTATTTTGGGCATATCGGGTAATTTTCCCTCCTATAAGGAGAAGAGGTAACCCTAAAACCCTAACTTCCATTCATTCCATACATTCTCTTTTCTGTTGCTGCTCTCTCTGGGCAGCCTTTCTCTTCCTCTCTCTCTCATACTGACTTGAGCGTCAGAGGCTCTACGCCGGAAATCCCTCCGGCGTTGAGTTTTTGCAGGCGTTGTCGCGGTCCAGGCAGCGGTTCGAGGCGGTTTCAGATGAATCTGAGCTCATTCTCATCGGTTCATTCCAGATCCAAGTTCGCTTCTATCGGATCACTCCAGATCTGGAAAGAAACCCATCATTTTTGCGCCGTCTGTGGGGAGATCTTGAAGAAATTAAGAGCTTTTGCACCTAGCTCCGATCTGTCTCTAATGGCTGAGAAAGAGGGTTTGCAGAGAAACTTGAATGAGGAGTTTAAGGGGGCTTGGACGGATAGGAGACCGCCTTCCCTCTCCGCCCCTAGACCTCTGGTGATGCATGTGCTGGGATTGCCACCATATGGAGGAATTCCGCCTCCAGGAGTGAATCTGGGTAGAGAAACACCCATTACTCCACTCGGAGTGAAGGTACTGGTGCTGACTTCAGCAGGAGCAAGTCCAAACCCCAACCCGAGTGAAGGAAGGGAGTCAACGGAGGTGCCTCGACGTGAAGGAAAACAGATCCAGGAAGAGCCGGAGCAGGCACTTGTATGAGATCACGTCGAGGAGCGAACGGTGACGATGACGAGAGGAGAAATGCAAAAGATGATAGCGGAAGCAGTGGCCGCTCAACTGAAGCAAGCTCAGGTCGAGCAGCCCAGGATCGAGCAGCCTGGGATCGAGCAGCCCTGGGTCGAACCGAATGCCGAGCGCGAACAACAGGCACAGTCCAATGAGCGGCCGAATAGGAGGGCGGAAGAGGAGGCATCCTCCATCAGGACTGTTAACCCGCAAGCACGGGATGAGACATTGGAGCAGTTGTTGGCCCAAGTTCGCGACTTACAAGCCCGAGTCGAAGGGTGGAAAACTGGTGTTTCAAGGGGACATCCATTCTCGCAGCACATCCTCGACGCCGACCTGCCTCAAGGTTTCTGTGACCTAAACATAAGCTACGATGGGTCGACTGATCCGTCTCGACATATGAGGAGTTTCAAGAACATGACAGTGCTCCATCGATATAACGATTCAGTGCAGTGCCGAGCCTTTCTGATGACCTTGAGGGGCTCTGCCCAGGATTGGTTCCATCAACTGCCTCCAGGGGCCATCAAATATTTCGATGGATTTAACTCGAGTTTTCTCAATCAATTCGCAAGTGTTAGGCCACAGGAGAAGTTGTATCTAACTTTAATGGGCATACAGCAGAAGGAAGGTGAGTCGCTGCGAGATTATGTGGCAAGATACACGCGGGCATGCGTCGAGGTGCCCAGGGCGTCGGAGGAAATCAAGGTGGGAGGTTTGACTAGAGGGCTACTACACGGCTTATGTAGAAATTCTTTGGCAAAGCGCCCAGGTAGAACGTTCGATGAAGTACTGGGAAGATGTGCGAAATATATGAATGTCGAGGAGGCAGAAGCCGACTTCTTGCAAACGGCTAAGCAATCAAAACTGACTCTCGGGATGAGAGGAGGGAGAGGAAGAACTCCTCGACTGGGGAGATAAAGGGGTCCCCGCAAGCTGAAAGAGAAGGACGTCCTAGGGGTTGCAGGCCTACCCAGTACACCCCTTTGGCAGCTCCCCAAGCCAGGATTCTCGAGGTCATGGAAAGGGAGATTCGTGACGACGTGGTGAGATGGCCCAGGACAAGAAATGATAGACCGACAAAACCTAAGAGCAACTTATACAGTCGATTCCACAAAGATTATGGGCATAATACCGACGATTGCAGACACCTCAAGGATGAGATCGAGAGGTTGATAAAAGCGGGCCACTTAAAAGAGGTCATATATAAGGATCGCGAGAGGACGGGCCAAAAAAGAGAAAGAAGCAGGAGCCCTCGTAAAAGGACGAGATCACCTGAGAAAGAGCTTCCCCCGAAAAGGGGAGTAATTCATATAATTTTCAGTGGGCTAACTAATGGAGACTCAAATCGAGCAAGAAAAGCATATGCCCGAGGGAAACACGCTAAGGTCGAGGTGCAGCAAGTCGATGAGGGAGGCCTAGTGATGAATTTTGGGCCAGCAGATGTGGGAGAGGTCGAAAGGCCTCACAATGATGCCTTGATGATAACCGCCCAAGTATCAGAATATGAAGTACAAAGAATCTTTGTCGACACAGGGAGTTCGGTAAATGTGATCTTCTATGACTGTCTCAAGCGGATGGAGCTCGACATCGAGCTCGTGCTTCTACACACACCACTCTTTGGGTTCAATGGATCAGAAGTCGCACCCCTAGGAGAAACCACACTCACTGTCGTCCTGGGAGAAGGCGACTTGAGAAAAGTGAAGATGATAAGATTCGTGGTGGTCGATGTCGAGTCGACTTATAATGTGATCCTCGGGAGGCCGACACTGAATGCTTTCCAAGTTGTATTATCGACTTACCACATGAAGTTGAAATTTCAGTCAGAGATCGGGTGGGAGAAGCCCGGAGATAAAAAAACTATCCAGAGCCTGTTACCAGATAGCAGTAAAGACAAACCAACGAACAGGGGTAAGGGAAGGAAAGAAACCAGCATCAAACGAAAAGAAGCCGAGGGGAAGTGACCTCGAACCACATGGAGAGCTGATGGAAATTCAGATCGGGGAGAAAGAGGACCAAACCACCAAGGTCGGGGGAGAATTGAAAAATCAGTTAAGGAAACAGTTGGAGGAATTGTTCAAGGAGTTTAGAGACGTATTTGCTTTCTCTCCCGAGGAGCTAACGGGGATCGATCCGGAGGTCATGGAACACAAACTCAATGTCGATCCCCTCAAAAAACCCGTCAAACAACGACTCAGACATCACGGAGCTGAGATAGACAAAGTAATCGAGGTCGAGGTGGATAAGTTACTAAAAGCCAAGCACATCAAAGTGATCCAATTCCCCGAATGGATATCCAACACCATGATGGTAAGGAAGGCATTGAATAAATGGCGCATGTGCATCGACTTTCGCAATTTAAACCTGGCATGCCACAAAGATCATTACCCTTTGCCGAGGATCTATCAGCTTGTCGACTCCACGGCTTGTTGCGAATTGCTAAGCATGATGGACGCATCCCAGGGATATCATCAAATCCCACTGGCCCCCGAAGATCAGAGCAAAGTTAGTTTTGTCACAAATAAAGGGACGTATTGTTATGTCGTCATGCCTTTCGGGCTAAAAAATGCAGAGGCGACATACCAGAGATTAATGGATTGAATGTTCAAGTCGCAGATTAGGCGCAATATAGAGGTATATGTGGACGACATCTTGGTGAAAAGCAGGTCTTCCACTTCGCATGTAGAGGATTTAAGAGAAACATTCAAGACACTAAGGAAATTTGGGATGAAGTTGAACCCGAACAAGTGCGCCTTCGGAGTAAGGGCAGGATGATTCCTGGTCTATGTCGTGACCGAAAGAGGTATCGAAGTAAACAAGGACAATGTGCAGGCCATACTCGACATGACACCGCCAAAGAATGTCAGGGAAGTTCAAGTCATGATAGGTCGAATTGCTGGTCTAGGCAGGTTCATCGCTCGAGCTGCAGAAAAGAGTTTTCCATTCTTCAAGTTACTTAAGAAAAAAGCCTTTCAATGGAATGACGAGGCTCAAATGGCATTCGAGAAGTTGAAGGAGTTTTTGAGCGAACTACCGTTGTTAACAAAGCCAGAGCCGGGTGACGAGTTAATACTCTACATCTAGGTGGGAATATTTTCTTTAAGTTCGGTATTGTTGCGAGAAGCTGGAGGTGCCCAGCAGCCAATCTACTATACGACCCAGGTACTTCAAGGTGTGGAGGCGAGATATGCCGAAGTCGAGAAGGCCGCCTTAACATTGGTAATCACAGCCAGAAAATTGAGGACATATTTTCTGAATCATGTGATAGTGGTAAGGACAAATTTCCAACTCAGAGAGACCTTGGGTCGACCTACTGTTTCAGGTCGACTCGTGAAGTGGGCGGTCGAACTAAGCGAGTATTCTATCAAGTACGAACCGCGAAGAGCTATAAAGGCCCAAGCTCTGGCGGACATTATCCAGGAAGGGACTAAGGGAGAAGACAAGAAATGGGTAATGCATGTCGATGGGTCCTCGGCGGCTAAGGGGTCTAGTCTGGGAGTTGTCCTAATATCCCCCGAAGGCGAGCAGCTCGACTTCGCCATCAGAATGGGGTTCAAGGCCTCGAACAACGAAGCAGAATATGAGGCCCTAATTAAGGGAATTCAGCTTGCAATCGGTGGCGGAGCAACAGAGATTATGGCGCATTCCGACTCACAACTCGTTGTCGGTCAAGTATTGAGAAGTTGCGAAATTAAAGATGATCGGATACTAAAATATGTCGAGGAAATTCAAAGCCTGGTGCAAGGCTTAGAAAGGTTCGAGCTAACACAAGTCCCTCGAGAGGAGAATAAGCGAGTCGATTGGCTCGTAAGAATTGTGAGTTCAAATGAAGGAAAGATGGGGAATCACATCACCAACTTGCATTTAGAAGGGAGTGTCTTAAGTGAGACAATGGAGGTCGACGAAAAGCAGGATTGGCGAAGAGCAATTCGCGAGTTGTTACAAGGTCGAGTACCAGAAGGAGATAAGCAGGAGGTAGAAAAAGCAGCTCGATATTTGAGTAAATACTTTGAGATCGAAGGAGTCTTGTATAAGAAGTCGATGGTCGGACCCCACCTGCGATGCATTTCCGAAGAAGAAGGAAATCATGTCTTAAAGGAGATCCACAAGGGATGTTTCGGAGTTCATGTAGGATCGCGAGCTCTAGCTGGCAAAGCTCTTCGAGCAGGCTATTATTGGCCCAAAATCCAGAAAGCAGCCGAACAATTGGTACAAGGATGCGACAGATGCCAGCGCCATGGTCGAATTCCCCACATTCCAGCCGAGGCAATGACGACAATCAACTGTCCAATCCCATTTTCTCAATGGGGAATCGACTTAGTGGGCCCATTGCCGATGGGAACAGGGCAAAGGAAATTCATGGTGGTCGCCGTCGATTACTTCAGTAAATGGGTGGAGACGGAACCTCTGGCAAAAATCACCAAGGACAAAATGATACAATTTTGTTCAACAATATCTGCTGTCGATTCGGAATTCCAAAGGTTTTAATTTCAGATAATGGGACGCAATTCCAAGGAAAGCGGATTCAAGCATGGTGTCTCGACATGGGGATTAAGCAGCGATTCGCTTCAGTCGCGCACCCACAGGCGAATGGCCAAGTTGAAGTAACAAACAGAACCATCATGCAAGGATTACAGAAAAGATTAGAAAAGGCATCTGGCGCCTGGGTCGACGAACTGACAACAGTCCTATGGGCCTATAGGACGACCCCGAGGAGTTCAACGGGGCAATCACCATTCCACATGGTTTACAGAATGGACGCCCTATTGCCTATCGAGATTGGTTTGGACTCTCATAGATCGACATTCTATGAGGAGAAGAATAATGAAGAATTAATGAAAGAAGCCCTCGACATGATAGAAGATACGCGAGAGAAAGCTTGGCTGCGATCCGTGGAGTACAAACAGAAGATGCGTGCAGCCTTCGACAAGAAAGTCCGAACCAGACGGTTTCATGTAGGAGACCTTGTTCTAAAGCGGGCAGATGCCCTCAAGCATGTTGGGAAGCTAGAAACTAACTGGGAGGGGCCATATACAGTCACAAAAGTGCTTGAGAGAGGTGCATATGAACTTGAAGATGCAGAAGGTCGACAACTGCCACGATCTTGGCACGTAATCCATCTCAAACGTTTTTACGCCTAAAACAATGTTTCGAGCTTTTTCTTTGTACTGAACAACGATCAAATCAAATTCAGTAATGAAATAAATTCCAAGTTTATGTTTCAATTATGTCTTTATATTTATGCATCGAATCTTTCATGATGGCTGGATAAACTGAATTTTTCGAAACGGCTATATAGCCGACAAACGCCTTCTACTACGAAGTCGATCTAAACAACTACGAAGTTGTATGCCTCGAGTGGAATCTCGGCAAGGCTACGAAGCCTTCGACTACGAAGTCGATCTAAACAACTACGAAGTTGTATGCCTCGAGTGGAATCTCGGCAAGGCTACGAAGCCTTCGACTACGAAGTTCGACCTAAACAACTACGAAGTTGTATGCCTTGAGTGGAATCTCGACAAGGCTACAAAGCCTTCGACTACGTAGTCGATCTAAACAACTACGAAGTTGTGTGCCTCGAGCGAAATCTCGGCAAGGCTACGAAGCCCTCGACTACGAAGTCGATCCAAACAACTACGTAGTCGATCTACACAGCCGCGAGACGGTATCCCTACTATGGAACGAATATGAAATAGCTACACGATCCACTAAGTAGAACTACAACAATGTTAATCAACTTACTTTTACAACTACGAAGCTGTTGAAATCGTTGCTCGACTTCGACCAGCTCGCACGAGGGGTTGGGAGAAGCCGACTCGAAAAAACTCGGTTCAACAGCTACGAAGCTGATGAAATCATTGCTCGACTTCGACCAGCTCGCACGAAGGGTTGGGAGAAGCCGACTCGAAAAAAACTCGGTTCAACAGCTACCAAGCTGTTGAAATCATTGCTCGACTTCGACCAGCTCGCACGAGGGGTTGGGAGAAGCCGACTCGAAAAAACTCAGTTCAACAGCTACGAAGCTGTTGAAATCGTTGCTCGACTTCGACCAGCTCGCACGAGGGGTTGGGAGAAGCCGACTCGAAAAAACTCGGTTCAACAGCTATGAAGCTGTTGAAATCGTTGCTCGACTTCGACCAGCTCGCACGAGGGGTTGGGAGAAGACGACTCGAAAAAGCTCGGTTCAACAGCTACGAAGCTGTTGAAATAGTTACTCGACTTCGACCAGCTCGCACGAGGGGTTGGGAGAAGCCGACTCAAAAAGCTGGGTTCAACAGCTACGAAGCTGTTGAAATCGTTGCTCGACTTCGGCCAGCTCGCACGAGGGGTTGGGAGAAGCCGACTCGAAAAAACTTGGTTCAACAACTAAGAACCTGTTGAAATCGTTGCTCGACTTCGACCAGCTTGCACGAGGGGTTGAGAGAAGCCGACTCGAAAAAACTCGGTTCAACAGCTACGAAGCTGTTGAAATCGTTGCTCGACTTCGACCAGCTCGCACGAGGGGTTGGGAGAAGCCGACTCGAAAAAACTCGGTTCAACAACTACGAAGCTATTGAAATCGTTGCCCGACTTCTTTCAGCTCGCACGAGGGGTTGAGAGAAGCCGACTCGAAAAAACTCGGTTCAACAGCTACGAAGCTGTTGAAATCGTTGCTCGACTTCGACCAGCTCGC